ACTTGTTTCTGTCTCTCTTTCTGTCTCTTTCTGTTTGTTTCTTTGTTTCTCTTTCTTTGTTTCTCTCTCTCTGTTTCTGTCTCTGTTTCTTTCTGTCTCTTTCTTCTTTTTTTTTATTATCTTTTTGTTTGTTTTTGTCTCTCTATTTTTGTTTCTTTCTTTCTGTCTCTTTCTTTATATTTCTCTCTTTTTGTTTGTTTGTTTCTGTCTCTCTATCTCTATCTGTCTCTCTTTCTGTCTCTCTTTCTGTTTGTTTGTTTCTGTCTCTCTATCTCTGTTTCTCTCTATCTATTTCTTTATATTTCTCTCTTTCTGTTTGTTTCTTTCTCTTTATCTCTTTCTCTATTTCTTTCTTTCTTTCTTTTTGTTTGTTTGTTTCTGTCTCTCTATCTCTGTCTCTGTCTCTCTTTCTGTTTGTTTGTTATTTCCTTTCTATCTCTTTTGTTTACTTCTATTTGTTTGTTTGTCTTTACTTATTATTAATTAATTTATTTATTTTTTATTTATATTTATTTATTTTTTATATTTATTTATTTTTTATATTTATTTATTTTTTATATTTATTTTTTATATTTATTTATAGTTTCTAGTTAGAGAAGAAACAAAAAACAAAAACAAAAAACGAAATATAAACAGCAAACAAAAACACAAAAAAATATTTATTTATTAATTTATTTTATTTATTTATTTATTTATTTATTTATTTATTTATTTATATTTACATTAGTATAGATAAATATAAATATAAAAAGATACAAATATATTTATTTTTTTTATTTTATTTTATTTATTTTATTTTATTTATTTTATTGTCAGTTAAGGATTAAACAATTTGTTGTTAGGTAAAGACAAAAAGAATAAACACCAGAGGCCGTCTCCTGCTGCTATTTGCTGCTGCTGCTGCTGCTGCTGCTGCTGCTGCTGCAGCTGCTGCTGCTCTTTGTTTCTGCTGCTGCTGCTGCTGCTGCTGTTTGCTGCTGCTGCTGCTATTGCTGCAGCACCTGTGCATACACCTGCTGCTTAGCCACCTGTAGCAGCAGCAGCTGCTGCAGCAACAGCAGCAGCAGCAGCAGCATTTGCAGCAGCAGCAGCTGCTGCTGCTGCTGCAGCTGCAAGTGCTGCTGCCCTATTGTCTTCGCTGTCTACTACAGTTGCTGCTGCTGCTGCTGCTGCAGCTGCTGCTGTTTTTGTTACGGCAGCAGCACCAGCAGCTGCTGCTGCTGCTAGACACTTCCAGCAGCAGCAGCAGAAAGCCAGCAGCAGCAGCAGCAGCAGCAGCAGCAAGTCTACAGCAGCACCGGAGAGGACCAATCGTCTTGATGTACCTGCTGCCGGGCAAGCTGCTGCTGCTGCTGCTGCTGTTGCTGCTGCTGCTGTGGTGTCGGCGTCGGCTGCTGCTGCTGCTGCTGCTGCCAAGCTGCTGATGGATTTTGCTGCAGCGGCTGCTGCTGCTGCTGCTGCAGCGCAAGCTGCTGCTGCTGCTGCTGCTGCTGCGGCAATGGCTGCGGTGGCGGCCAGGCGTCCCTCCCCCAGATAAGACCTGCATGCTGCTGCTGCTGCTGCTGCTGCTGCTGTTGCTGCTGCTGCTGCTGCTGCTGCTGCTGCCAGACGCTCGGGGGCGGGTGACGCTGATCTATGGGCATCGGCCACCGGTGGTAGTGCTGCTGCTCCCACTGTTGCTGCTGCTGCTGCTGCTGCTGCTGCAGTTGCTGCTGCTGCTGCTGCTGCAGCTGCTGCTGCTGCTGTTCGTGAATAGCCAATGCTGTGCTGCTAAGACAAGCACGTGCAATATCTCGCTGCTGCAGCGCGAGCTGCTGCTGCTGCTGCTGCTGCTGCTGCTGCTGCTGTTGGTGCGGCTGCTGCTGCAGTTGCTGCCGCTGCTGGTGCTCCCACGGTTGTTGATGCTGCTGCTGCTGCTGCTGCTGCTGCTGCTGTTTCAGCAGCAAACGACGCCAACGATAAACACAGTGCTGCGCCCGCAGCAGCAGGTCCCCCACAAGAACGCTGTCATTCATAGAGCTGCTGCCTCCTGCTGCTGCTGCTGCTGCTGCTGCTGCTGCTGCTGCTGCTGCTGCAGGATCAGATAAACGAATACGAGTCGCCAGCTCCTGCACCATCGCTATTGCTGTTATCAGCTCGTCCCTAAACACAGCAGCAGCAGCAGCAGCAGCAGCAGCATGGAGGAGACAGCAGCAGCAGCAGCAGCAGCAGCATGGAGGCAACAGCAGCAGCAGCAGCAGCAGCAACACAAGTGTTGCGATGCGTTCACAGTAAA